ACACTGTGCTCCTGTTTCTGATAATTAACACTGCAGTCTGCATTGGATGAAAAGCAAGAAGGACAACAAAAAGCTACAAGACTTCAATAAAGAGGCCTATAAGCCAGCTGTAGCTACTTCGGTCTGGTGGTATGTGTCTGGTTCTTACATATTTCAAAGTCATGACACTGAAACTTGCCCTTTTCACCTCTGTTGTGATCTCAAAGCCAAATGTCATGTGCCAAGGGTTGGGTCATATTAGAAATGGGTGCGGCAATGCAATCAGGATCTTGAGACATCTTTGAGGCATTTCGCATGCCTGTGAATTCGTAGGACAGTACTAGCATTTCATCTCACCATGAGGCAATGAAAAGGGGTGGGTGATTAGCATGACACTGTTTTAAAGGAGCCCATGGGTGGTGCAAATGGGGAAAGCACTGAATTGCTGATAGGTTGGAGTTTTGAGTCCAACCAGTGGCATCTTGAAAGAGAGGACTGGTGATCGATTAAAAACAAAACACAAACAAAAATCCATCAGCCAAGGACCACATTTCTGCTTTGGCACACGTGAGGTCGCCACATGTTGGAATGGATTGAACAGCAACTGGTCCTTTTTTGAGAATTACTCTCTCGTGCTGTAGAGGGAAGTGTGCACAGCAAAGAAGGTTCCTCTCTAGCAAGTTTGATATAAATTGTTCCATGACCCGTTCCAAATTTTAACAAGGTTTTCAGTGTCAGCATTCTCCTGGTTTCCATTCTATGGACTCTGTGTCTATGGGTCTAGTTTGCCCGTCCACCTGACCGTCTCATTTTTTATTTTGTCTAAGTGTGGACCATCTGCTCTCCTACAGTGGGTTGTTTAAAGAAGCACATCATCCAAGAAAGTTTTAAACCGATCTGTTGTTTGTTAGCCAGGGGACCTCCAGAAATAGCTCCAGTTTCAAGTTCAAAGGCAGCAGTCTTAGACGTTCCTCGAATTGCTATTGGGTCAGTTGGTCTGGCCTTTATAAGGAATTGGAATTTTGTTCTATGTTATTCTTCCATTCTATCTCAGATCGTCTACTGTGTCCCTGACCAGAACAGTCATCGTGGAAACCTGGCTAAATTCCTCAACATCTAGGATCTTCAATGTTAAAGTCCTACAACGACTTATAACCAAAAGTAAAGTCTATCAAATACATTTTTTTAAAAAGCTGAGATCAACTCTTGGAAGCCTTGTCCGCAGTCAAGGTTAGATAAAGTGACTGTGTTCTGGGGAGGTGAGGAGCCTTAGAGGTTGGTTGCTGGTTCCCTGGAAATCCCTCTCCCCGAACGCCTTGGCCCGAGTCCCAGGGCCTGGAAGCAGTTTGAAATGTGAGACACAGCAGAGCTTGGTGCCACCTTTCCTGAATAAGGTTTGGGAGGCAGCAAGGTCTCTGGGTTCTTCCAAGACACAGGGCAGGGTAAACATCATGAGCATGGAGATGCTAGAGGGCCTGGGGGAGGGGCAGGCAGGTGGTGTGGGAACACCTGCTGACTTTTTCAACCGGGGTGACGCCCACATTACTATCAAATGTTTGTGCAGTGTTTCAGCAGCCATTTATAGTAATCTTCTTTCATAGTTAAATATAACAACATAAACTCAGCTTACATGTATTAATACACCGACGAGTCTAAAACGCTGCAATCATTTACTTTTTGAACCTTCTAGGGCTCTCTGGCCAGAGCTGTCATTACCTCCCATTCCAACGGTGCTCTGAATCAGGTGGTTTTGTTTGCACGTGCTACAAGCACGTGCTGTTGGTTGCACTACTGCTGTTTTTTTATAGTCACTGATTTTATCAAAATGTCTGCAGTTCTCTGGTAACTAGTATTTGCAATCCTATAAGAAGGGGCTTCAAAAAGTGCACTTTCTGGGGGGGGGGGGCGTTAATTAATTCTCACCCTCCAGCCAACTTTTTGAAGCCCCTTTGACTCAATCGTTTTTGAGCATCAAGCAGTCGTTAAAGGAAAAGGAAAAAATAAAAGAATTTCGCTCAGTAATATTGCGATTAATAATGTCGTGATTCAATGCAGAAAGATTTTATGAGAATTTTATTAGTAGCATTCAGATGATCTAAGAAATATTACATTCAAGCAACTAACTGCTATATTTACTATAGATGCTTAAAATTGATAATAAACATTAAGGATTCCATAGGGTTTGGGAGGGGGAGAGACCCACCGGAGTTGTCACCATGAATTACTGCCCTGGGTGACACCAATCCCAGTGACGTCATTGGAGCAATGCGAAGGCAGGTGGGCTTCTGTCAGCTCCCTGGAGTCTGTGTGTTCTCCAGCAGGGGCAAGGGGAATTGGACCATTTTCTATGCATTGTGCAAATATGGCCAAAAAAAAAAAATAGAGTTCAAGAGGCTTAATGTTCAGTGTGAGATAAAAGTTAACTAGAAATATGTAGATGGATTGCCAAGCTCCAAAACAGCTTGGCATTGATGCTGCTCTGGTACTTGGTCATTGATACTGCTCTGGTATCAACCCCCTCATTGATACTGCTCTGGTATCAACCCCCTCATTGATACTGCTCTGGTATTTGGTCTTTGATACTGCTCTGGTATCAACCCCCTCTTTGATACTGCTCTGGTACTTGGTCATTGATACTGCTCTGGTATCAACCCCCTCATTGATACTGCTCTGGTA